ATAGGAATATATAAAACAAGCCCAACATAAAATCTTAAAGAAACTGAAAAAGCAGTGCTCATATACCTTTCCTTCCCTAACTTATTTGGTATATAACCTTCATGTATGCATTAGAACATAAGCATTTTTTATGATATAAATCTTTTAAATAAAAAAAATAATGCGTAAAATTTCTTTCCACCCCCACCTTCACGCCCCACCCACAAAAAAAAATGTTTCTCTAGAGGCAATAGCCAGCAAATTAAATTGACATCATAACAGGTATATATAAAATAAACCCAACATACTTTCTCAAACAAACAAAAAAATAATGCTCATATACCTCTTGTTCTCTAACTTCTCCTGATTGAGAAAAAGGGAAATAGAGGTTGCTAACTTGTTTAGAGAAAAACCTTCTAGTATGCATTAGAAAAAAACATTTTTAGTGTTATAAATCTTTCAAATAAAGAAAAAAGAACCATTTCTAAAATTTCTCCCATGAAATTGTTTCTCTAGATGCAAAAGCAAATAATTTGAACTTCAAGTATCGAAACATGAATATATAAAACAAGTTCAACATAATTTCTGAAAGAAACAAAAAAAATAGTGACCATATATATCTCCTTTCCTGACTTACTGGCATATAACATTTTAAGTATGGATCAGAACATATGCATTTCTACTAGCATAAATCTTTCAAATAAAGAAAAATAACCAATGCTAAAATTTGTCCCCCCAAAAAAGTTTCTCTAGAGGCAAGAGCAAACAAAATGAACTTCTAACATCAGAACATGAATACAAAAAAAAAACCAACATAAATTCTTAAAGAAACAGAGAACAGTGCTAAGATACCACTCCTTTCCAAGCTCATAACTTATCTAGCATACAACCTTCAAGTATGCATCAGAACATATGTGTTTCCAATAACATGAATATTTTATATAAATAAAAAAGAACCAATGCGAAAATTCACCCCCCCACTCTTCTAACAATTGAAGAAGAATATGTAAAATAAGTCCAACATAAAGTATCAAAGAAATAGAAAAGCATTGCTCTGATATCTTTCCTGCCCGAACTTCTCATTGAGAAGGGAAATAAAAACTGTTGACTTATCTGGCATATAACTGTCGGCACTATTTTTGGTGTGGGGTTTGCCCGTAAGAAGCTGTCGGTCATCAGAATTGAAATCCTGTCGCCCGCTTCGGAAGGACGTTTTAAAAATTTTAGTTTTGAAAAAGATGAAGTCAAACTGACCCCATAATTTTCATAGTTTAGATGAAAGAGTGCTTTACCTCAAATCCTATATCTATCCCGAAGGATGAACATAAGAGTTGAGGGTGAGGCTCTATCAAATAAACTAAAGAAAGTTATGACATCCGTTTGGTCTGTGAAACCAATGTATTGGCCGACAAGTTCCCCTATTTAATATAAGGAATTAAATAGGGTTTATATTATGTTGGGTTTGGGAAAAGCTTCCTATAAGGGCAAGCCCCTATAGTTAATTACATCATAGATAACTGAAGTTACCTATGAATACTCTCGATAAATGTCAAGAAAAAATACCTTCAAGGAGTTCAAATGGTAAGGACATTTCAAAGATATTGGACTAAGAAGTGTAAAAGGGGATTGGTTCAAATTTGAAACATTTTGTTTTGGAGTCCAAAGAAGGAAATACTAAAGGATGTCACGGATCCGAAGGAGAACTTCGGTAACTTCCCAAGCTATCCTATTATTTGGCTTTAATTTAAGAGAAATCATTTAGATGTTTCATCCTGCAATTTTT